ACAAGTCAGAAAGCAAGGTGCTTAACCACTGTTCTGGCAGGCATCTGGGAGGCAGGGCAGCACCAGTGCCTGGAGTCCCACCAGCCCTGCAGCCCAGCTGCCCATGCTGGGCCACAGCACAGAGCTGCAGAGGCAGCAGAGCCTGCTCTGCCTGCCATCAGGAGCCTCTTCAGTGCCTGGGAGCAGGCATGTCAGTCATATTTTTCTAGGAGATACTTAGATAGTTTTGGCCGCAATAGTATTGAATGCCAGTGCTGCGAATGCAAATGCCACTTTCAGCCACTTTTAAAGTGTGAGTGGGGCTGAGAGTGACTTTGTTGTCACAGTGAGTGACAAGTGATGGAAAAATTGGGTGTTGCCAAAAAAAAGAAAAAAAGAAAAGAAAAGAAAGAAGGTTTTAAACAAACAAATATGCTTATTTGACACTTGGCTAGTGGGGGCAGTTATCACCCATACTCTGGTCAACGAGTATGCCTGTGTTTTGCTTGAGAAAAGGAAGATTCTTATACTTACTTTCACTCTCGTATGTTGTTTTCTTGCTCTCTTTTTTCCTCTGTAATCCACTCAAAACTTTGCAAGCAGCTACCTCATTCCCAGTGCCCATTCCCAGTAGCCCCTAGAAACGGTGGGCTGGTGTGTGTCACCACTGACAATGCTCAGTACTGCAAACCCATGTGCAACAAGGTAGTATCCATGGTTTACTGCTGCTATATTGCTGCATCTATTCATTAATTTACAAGTGTTTATTGTGTAATGAATAGTTTTCTTGTTATACTTTTTTCTTCTCCCTTACGGCAGGAAGAGTTTGAAGTGTTTGTATTGACCTTCACTGGCTGACTATTTCTTCATCTTACAGTTGCCATGATGTAACCTAAGACACCATTTGTTTTTTCCTCATCTTTGTTTCCCAAGGGTTATGACTTTCCATTCCTCAGAAGTAGACTGTATGAAGTATGTGGCACTGCCACTGGGTTTTCCTGGACAACACAGCTTGTTGGCAAAAAGGAACTGGCTGTTTGAAATGGTGAGTATTTCTCAGTCACATTTGATCACAAGGATGGGAGGGTCTGTCTCTTGTGTTTTAAAAAAGGAAGAAAGAAAAGTTTCTCTTGGTATGTGTGACAACCTTGGCATATGTGATATTATGAGAGCTAGTGCTGGGCTAGCAAACTGCTGAATGAGAAATCATGTTAGCTTTGAAACTATCACAAGGGCCTGAGCATTGCTATTTCAGCTTGGGGTAGTAAATGTGACATGTATCCAATATTTGTGGGAAGATGCAACTTTTTTAAAACAGTAAACAGGTATCATCTTAACACAAACCCTATGTTGCACAATGTGACCCCACTGGACAGACAGCAGTAGAACATAAAACTGTTGTTTATCTTTCAACGGTACTTGAAGTGCCTCAGCAAAATGGGCCAATGCCTATACTATTCACAGTGCATACATACAATAAAATCCAGGAGCTGGCCCCCAGCCAGCAGTGCTGCCTTTTTCATGTGGCAGCCCAAGGGTTTTAAGACTGCTCCCATTTCATCCAGTGAGCAACCCATGACCTGAAGTAGACTATCTGACTCCATCATTATTGCCTTAATTTAAAAATAAAGGTGCATATAGACACACAAAATGGTCAACCTATCTCTCCTATGGTTAATGGAAAATATTTTACTGTTGACAGTGCCTTGTTGCTAGATCAGTTGTTTCCCAAAGCTTACCAAAAGCAATCATCTCAGCACTTTCATTCCAAGTTGAAGTTTTTAGTCTTGCAAATAGAAATGCTGGTGCTTGTTTAAAGATCAGAACAAATCTAAGCTATGTAACTCAGCTGCTTTTTTTTTTTTTTTTCTTTTGGACCTCTGATCTTTTCAGCCTCCGAGATGGCCATCAGTGGAGTTAACTCTGCCTGTTTCCTGACCAACAGCACCTATATGCACACATTAGCTGGCACTGAAACTCAGGCAGAGCAGCCAAACATCTTCCTCAAAGAGCTTCATGAGCAAGGCATTGACAGCTCCAACCATGACAAGGAGGCTGATTGTATCATCTGTGGTTACTAGCATGAAAAAACTTGTGCCACAGACCAGGAAGCCATCTGGAAGTTGACATGGGTATTTTGACAAGAGAAATAGAGCACTTAAATCATTGCTAAGACATGTAAACATGCAGCTTTTATTTAGTTAAAGGACTAGTGATCATAGTAATCATTTGACCTCAGCTCTTGGGTATAGATATATAGGCTAAATGTAATCACATAGCTCATGTGGTGAAGGTGTATTGAGGAAAGATCACTTTTATGGCTTAAATTTGTCTAACTGGAATTAAATAAGAATTAGAGTTGTTTAAGAGATGCAGTCATTAGTTAAACACAGTAATTGTTATCAAAAATTATCATCTGTCAGGGGTCATTTTTACTGAGAAAGGGTCATGCTTTTAGTTGCTTTTACAATTGCCAATTAATCACTATTGTTTTTCTGATGACCATTAAAGCAATGCAAGTGACAACAGTTACTGGCTGTAGGGGTATAGTTCTTTATTCATGTGCCTGCTTCATTGGGGGGTTAAATTAGGCTGTACATACAGCTGTTCAAGGTGATGTGTTTTGCTTGAGCTTGAAACACTGCAGTTTGTTGGAACTAGTCAAAGGCTTCTCCTGTATTTATCACCTTGAGAACATACCACAGAAAAACATAGCCTTTAGGTATACTTCAATGCACTTCTAGTAGTCAAAAATGCCCTGTAGGCTTGATGTAACCAAGCAAAATGGCAGGAAAAAAGTAACATCTTGGTCCACTACATAACGTGAGAACTGGGATTGCCCCAAGCCAGCAGGTATTTGAATCATGTCTTCTCTGCTCAAAAATGAAGAATGTGTGTGTGGATGGACCTGCATGTGAAGCTCTCTAGTTCGTGTACCAAGGATCAGCTCCAGTCTCTTCTTTTTAGTCCCTGTGGGGAAAAACCATGATGGTTCTGGAAGGAAAGTCCTATTGACCCTTGGTTTGCTCTAACCTGTGGGATACAGGGCTGCAAGTGCTCTTCTATGCTCACACTTCCTTGCACTCCCTGGGCATATGCAACACACACAATTTTGGGGGCCTCCCTTAGGCAGAGGTTGTGGTTAGGTGGTAGGGCAGCTGCTGGTTGTAGCCCAGTGTTTCCATAGCTTCTGGGTAGTCATCTACCCTGCTTATTTCTCCTCTTCCTTCTATTTCTAAAATGTGGTCTAAAGTGGGGCAGGTTTGGCTCTTGCAAATTAGCAAAAATTTAGCTGGTCATCTGAATTTGTAACAGCTCTAAACAAAAATATCCAAGTGAATTTTCTGTTGTTGATTCTTCTAATGCAATATAAAACCAATTGTTCCTTCTCCAATTCCCATTCTTCTGTGAGCTCTCTCTTACACACACATCTCCTCCTCCCCCTGTGCATGTGTACTCAGGAAAACCAAAGACACTGAGTAAGAGGTGTGAAAAGCAGAAAACCCAGGCTGTTGTTCACCTAGCACTTGGTGCAAGTGAAGACCAAAGACAACTCAGCACTGGTGATCCGGTGTATTTGTGGAGCTGTAACTACAGAACAGATGTGAATTATTATGAAATCTAAACAAAAAAGCTTAGTTACTGCTTGCTTGGTTTTCAGTGGAATCTTTGCTTGGGGTTTTGTTTTAATTTTCTTTTGTTGAGCAAACAATGAAGCTGTAGCTCTGAAGACAGCCAGCTCATCTATTTGTGTTTCCTCTCTCTTCCTTACCTTTTCCCTATTCCCATGAATCTCTCAGACACAGACAACATAGTTACATAGTACATGGTGTATAACTGACCTTTACGTCATTAATAAATTAAATGATTCAGATATATAAAAATACACACTCTTTCATGCTCAGAATCCAGTCATTACAAGCAAAAAACCCATCAGTTGCTTTTGCGCCCAGAACCAGACAGTCATATGACTATGAGTGTAGCAGACAATTATACCAACAAGGGGATGAATTGGCTGCTTTGGCTGATTATAAACTATGAAGCAGTAACTAAAGTCATTGTGTTGGAGACAAATGTGCTGCAGTCTTAAAAAGAAGCAATGGTTCTTCAATCACTGGTAGGTTTGTTTATTTCTTGCAAACAATCTCTATCAAATGAAATTATAATGATTTTGAGTCTTTCCAGCCAATTCATTATCAGCTGATGCTCAGATAAAATATCTGAAGCACTGACCACTTTCTAGTATCATTTTCCTACTGGTGCTAGAAACATTTTTCTCTGAGTTATATTAAGTTATTCTAGTGACTTTCCAAACCAAACAACAAAAGAAAAGAAACCCAGTATTGGATTTCATGAGGAAATCAAACCCACTGCTCTTGTAAATTAACAGAAACTGATAAATCTGTGCATCAGAAATCCTGCTAATGAGTGTCCCACAATGTGGAAGAATTAAACTGGAAAGCTTTAATTTGATGTGGCATGAATTTGATATTAATCTGGAGACAGGGTGGTTGGAGTTTTCTCATAAACTTGCAGAGAAGCAGTTTTGTTCTGTTTTGTTTATATATGAGAAAAGCAAGTTGAACCAATAAGCCTATATGACACAGTTAAAAACTAAAATAAACAATCACATTATTTCCTAGAGCAAATTTGCATAATGTAATTCAGTTGATGTATCTTTTCATTAACTTTGAGTAGGTGTCTGGCTGGGTATGTGAGAGCATCAGGCCATCCCTCATGTTCCTGCTCTAACCCCAGGATGGGGAGGGCTTTGTGTTCTGGCACTTGGGATTTGCAGAGAGAGAAAAAAATCATATAGAAGGAAAGATGATTTCAGGCCAATAAGTTAACTGTCAGTCATCTCAGCTGAAGGCTTTGCTAATATTTACAGTGTCATACAGAAAGGGAGACTTTCCTGATATTAATTAAAGGAATATAATGCTGTATTACGGTTGCTTCTCTTTCAGTCTTGTTTTTGGTCCATTATAATGCAAGAGAATAAGTCAGTCTAGGAACTGAGCCAACAACAGTAATTACAATATAGACAAAAAGTGGAAGGCAAAGTGCTGAGAACTGTAGTATGTGAAGACAAAATTGTACACATTCTCTTTTTCACAGAAATTTAGCAGCAATAGACTGTGAAACCCATCCCTTTTGGATGGGTCTGAGGTAGTAAGAGTGATCCTGAGAGATGTTATCATTACGAACCATCCTTCAAAGGGATCAGTGGTGTCACAGCTTGTACCAGGGCTGGGTCACAGGGAGCCATGCAGTGAAATCTGTGGCACATGCTTCATCCTCCAGGTGACCACCACAGCGGGGGGCAGAATCATGAGGAAACTCATTATCAGGATTGTAGCAAAAATGACCAGCAGTATTTCCCATGGGGCCATGACCGTTTGCACCATGATTTCCTCCATATCAAGAGCCTGAAGCTGTAAAGCAAAAAATACACTGAATTACTTTCTTGCAAATAGGCATTATAACTGTACAGATGTGTTTGTTAGAGGCTGTCAGCCTCTTTTGCCTATTATTTTCTCATCCTGAAGAACAAATGCATTTTCCCTCACTGCAGGCCTCAGAAGAGCTCCTGCTCTCTTGCTCTGTGTCCCCTCAAGAGCCTCCATGGAGCATCAGTGTGCCTCACCTTTTTGGCTCAGTTGCAGTTGCTGCAAAAATGCCATTCCTGACTCTTGGGCAAGCCTTTGCCACCTTCTCTTTAAAATTTTGATTTTTAAGGCCCTCCCCTCCCACTTAGAGCATCAATACACAAAATGGTTATTACATTGGCATGTGTCAAAGATAAAGCTGAGAATAAAAGGATACAATGGAAAGAAGAGAGAACTGTAAGTTAACTGCTACCAGAATGTGTGGTTTTGTTTTTTTTTTCCCCTGTAAAGTAGGCTTTAAAAACTTTTTGCTCGCTAGAGAGCTTCAATGGACACTCAGTAAACAATTACGTGCTTTGAAAATGACTACAGATATATTTTCATGAAACTGTTAAATCTGTTGAAAACTGATTTCTGTCTGAAATGGTTTAATCAAACAATATGAGCTTAAGATGCAGAGAGGTTTAGCAGCCAGGCAGTGGGGAGTACGTGGACAGAAGAAGCAGAGCTAGTATGTCTCAAGTCTTTAGTTTTGCAAAATAAAAAGAGTAGATCAGTTAGGAAGGAGTTTAATCATGTTGCTTTTGAGACAAGAAGCCTGGTCTGTTAACAGGTGTGTCCTAGTTCATCAAGGGCTCAATGCAATTCCTTCAGCACAGGACCTACACACCTGAAAGCCATAAGGAAGCCAAAGCCATAGGGTTGTGAATAAAAGCTGGTAGCCATGGTGTAAGTGGGGCTTTTTTCCTTCATAGTTGCTTGTTTTCTTAGTGCCCTGGTAGTAAGGAGGTCTTCTGAGGGGTTATAGTGCTCCCTTAGGCCTCAGAATTTGGGCTAGATTTCACCAGAGGTTGGTCTGTCACTTTCAGAGTGGGTGGTATACTGTTTCTATAATTAAATCCTGACCCTTCAGTGAAGGAAGAAGACTGGAACAGTGTTAATAGAATATGCTTATTTAGAATTTGGGTATCTATGGGAAGATAATTAGTTGCCAGCAATTTTGTACCCATTTTAACAGTATTAAAATTACCCTCAGCTCAATTTTTTTTTTTTTTTTTCTGGGGCTTGTGATGAGAAGCAGCAGATGTTTGGTAACAAATCCTGGAGGACTTAAGTACTGATATTCCTTATTGAAAGCTAGATATCTGTTAAGCAGACTGTAGATGGCTGCTAAATGAACTGGATGCTACTGCTCAGTCAAACCTTGGCTCTCTGGTGCCAACCTTTCTTGTACTTTTCATTTACTTTTTTTTTGCTGTTGCAGTACCAATTCAGCCTATTTTTAAGACTCAGACTTTTGCCAGTGGAAAACATGTTCTCTCTCCAGAGTTGGCTGTGCCTGCCCAGCCAGGTCAGTGTCTGCCTTGCAGCAGTGTCAAGACCTTTCCAGAAACCTTACCTCTTGTAAGCTTGTGTCAAATTTTACAGCTAGATTAATGTCAGGTCTTGTAAACTGGAGAAAAGAATGGAGAATGGGGGTAAAGATGCCCTAGCTCAGAGCCTGGAGCATGATCACAGCTGCTGTCTCCTAGCCAGCAAAGCCACATACCTTTGGTTTGTTCCCTGCAGCTGTCTGTGCCCTGTGTCCATTTTCACATGAGCCACAAAATAGCTGCTTAGTTTTGCTTGTTTTAAATCTGCTCAGGCCTGCAGTTCTGATGATGTGGGCTGTACTCTGGAGTTCATTGGGCTATGTGGTATTCTGACCCTTCTTGTGGCACTCTATTTTATTCTTCGCTTCCCCCTGTATGCTGGATGAAAGTCTGTGTGAGGCTGTTTACAACTGGGGTAGGCAGGTGTGGGAGAAGGAATGTTTGTGCTCAGGGACCTACTTTGTGCTGCTTCATTGTTGCACAGATCTGCTGCACTGGAGATATCTGAGGTGGGCCTATCATCTTCTAATTCAATTTCT